GTAAGGAGATTTGGACGAGCGCCACACAATTAGAATTTGTGTTCTACTTTAGAAAAAGATGAAGCTGAGACACATCTTTTCAGATATCAAAATAGCTAAATTAAACTTAAAAAACTTTAAAAAAATTTAGCCTGGTTACAGATGATATTGATATTTTCTTTTTATTGTTTTTTGTTTTGTTTTTGTGTTTTAGTTGAAGTTAACTTTTAATTAGCAAGTACCTTCTTATGGGCGTATATCAATCAGCAAGACACGTTCGTGTATATGGCACGGACTACACATCCTTCATCACAGCGTTACCCACTTTTGCTGCCGGTTTTAAAGTTTTTTGATTCATTTTGTATTTTGGATTTCCAAAAATAGCAAAAAGTAAATGGACATCTCTATATCTATATCTTAAAACTAACTATTATGTTTATATGTAAATTAAGAATGTACCTGTAGTATCTCATTAATGAAAGCGAACTGCATCATTCTCTTCTGGTTTCAAACAGGAACCATAATGCCAATAATAATGCATAAGTGAAACATATTATGAAAAGATTTATTTAATTTATTTATAAGCCACTAACCTGCTAAAGAGGTTTACTACAGAAAAGACCCACAGATGGAGGATTTTATATCAAATATGTTCTAAACCAGCATAATTATAATACATTTATATTTTACATATTCTTATAACTTTATTACAAGTATGAATACTAAAAAAATGTTATAAAATTCCTAATGACAATACATGACTGAAGATAATAAAAGAGCTTTAAATTTTTATTCTGATGGATATTACTTAGATAGCCTTCCTGACACTGTGCTTAAAATTAGGTTTTAAATGTTGTTCGCCTTTATTTTAAAAAGAAAATATTCTATTATATTAATGAAACAGAAATTTGTAATATTTTCTTTTAAAAAACCATATATCAGCAAAAACATAATGACAAGTCTTTTTACAAAAGAAAATGAATAAGATAATAATTATCTTATTTAAAAATTAAACTGTGGTGCTGATTTTTTTCAAAATTTTTGACAATTATTGGCCGGTCAGTCAAGTAATTGATTGATTACGATTTGAAAAAAAGACCGATAGTATGCGACGCTATGAGTTATAGCTATTTCGATCTACTGATCAGTTTTTTTTGAACCTTTAAGTTTGTTATTTTTAACATATTATTTTTATATATATTAACTATATATATAACAAACTTATTTATGAAAATATATTTGAAAAAAATTGACTAAAATTTGTGTTCCAAAGAATATAATTACAATTTACGGTCTAGTCAATTAGAAATACATACACAAGAGTTTAAGTGCAAAAGTTTAAAATGCTAAACATATTTCCTGAACATCATAAGATGTGGATATAAAAATCATCTCTAATGCAACATTGAAAATTTCAATAACACATCCGCAGCTGTGTCTTTTAAGCAAATATATTATGATCTATCAAACCAAATATTTTTTAATCCAGATAAATACAGTTTTCTTAAATACAGATAAACTCTATTTCCATAATGCCACTATTGAAGTATATTTATTATAATTGTAACACGAATCTTTTTTCGTAGTGAAAAATTAAATATTAATATTTAGTGTAAACGAAAATTTTGCAAATACTGAACATCTTAAATATGTAAAATTATAATGGTTCAGTATGTATTTCGATATATGAAGATAATTTTAGATATTTTAAGTATGTATTTCTATACACGAAGTTATTAATACATTCACACTGCCTCATTTAGACACTTGCTCATTTATATTAATCAGTAAACGTTCACACTATAATGACCTCATTTATGCAGCTGATAGAATTCTTATAAACTTTACTTAATAATATATCACACAAAAAATTAAATATATAAATCATTTATATATATATTTTTTATATCCATTATATATTCAGTTAAAAACAAAGATTTTATTATATACTTATTTCTCAGTACGTTTCTTTACAACTCAGCTGTTGTTTGTTTACATTTTACATATAAAACATATGACACATATTTCAAAATTCAGTAATTTCCCTTGTGGGAAATTTAGTTTTAAGGGTTGCATTCGACATTTTTGGCTTTAAATGGCTGATTTATTGATAATGAAAGCTCTTTGTATGGTAAATCAATCTCATTATATAGATACTATAATGAGCAAAATTACCTAAATGAGACAGTATAAATGTGGTATAACTTTTGATATTTCAGATGGTTACAGTTTTAAATTCATCCAATTTATAACAAATATATTGCAAACTAAGCAAGTAAGACATACGTTTTTTGCGGTTTTATTAATAAATAAAAGATTTAAGCTTAATTCGAATCGTGTTTCAAGATATATGTTTTTAACATTTGATTGCAGGAATAACAGCATGCTACCTCACTGTAGATTACTATATTTAAGTGAAGACTTAAGTTAATTTAAAAGTTCATAAAAAGAAATTAGAGTGAAAAAACCTCATTGAACAAATTAACTAACAACCTCCAAATTTTAACATATTGTTAATACTTCAGCTCTTTAGAAGTAAAGAAAGAAAGAACAGCAATTTTAACTAAACCGCTTTAACATTATTTTACGGATATAGCAGAAAACTAATATTAGCGGTCTGAAGAAGATTTTAAACTACATGAAGTGGACTTAATTGAGCTGTCTGTCTACACAATCAATCTAAAAGTTGGTAACGAGAATGTGGAATCAAAACAGTGTGAAGACGAAACGGTATGTAAAAATGTATTTTTACATCACAACGACATTAATTAGATATTTTTAACTTTAGTACATTAATTAACAAGTTTCAAATTATAAATATATAAATAATTTTCTTCGGACTTATTTTGCAAATTCGGTTGAGTTTTCAATATATGATCGATAATCACAGAACTTAGAATGAATACGGTTCGAAATATTTTAATTAGCTCTTATTACAAAAGTTAAGATTAAATTTCTTACTAAGTACTAAATCACTAGACACTTTATAAAGATTATGAAAGAATAATCCTACAACAGGATTAATATATATTTAAAAGCACAACAATTTGAAATGTGAATTGTTGAATTGAAAGAACTTTTGACTTTTTCGCCCCTCAAAAAAAATTATTAAAAATATAATTTAAAACTGAACATGCATGAGAACTTCCATGTACACCATAGGTTTACATAGATATAAGGTGGTTCGCTTGTAAAATATTTCATACAACACTACACGTGATAAAGTTTGGCAGACAAATGTCAAAATGTCAAAACGTTAAAACAAAAATAAATATGAAACCAAGTTGAAAATTATGCACTCACCTTGTACATACAATGCTCTGAGAATATCTGAGTTATTTATAAATTTTTTATTTTAATTTTATGGTTTTTTGGGGGGTACCTCTATCCATCATTTTAGAAACTAGTACTTTAGTAACGACTTCGGCTGCGACTACGGCTACCGCCATTGCTATGTCGATAGTTTCGGCTACGTGACCGCCGGCGATGGCTTTTGTGGTGGTCTACATAAAAATATAATGAATTTCGAATACAAAGTCTTGAGAATAATAACTTACGTCGGTGTCTCTCAGGATGGCGCCCATGTTCTCGATTATATTCACGCTCCCTGTCATAATCTCTGAAATTAAATATGATCGTTTATCTAATAAGAGAAGTATAGTAATTAACGTACCTTTTGCGGTCACGATTAACATATGCGGAACGTGAGGAACGATCTCGGTCACGGTCTTCTTTACGTAAACGTTCCTCCTCCTCACGTTCTTTTTGACGCCTCTCTTGAATTTCTTCAACTGCTTTACGTAAACGGGAATATCCTAAATGTTGTTTTCCCATCAAATGATCTTCAATACGTTGTTGGGCATCCCCAACAATTAAAAAAGCACCACATGTTTCACATACTTCCATTTGTTTTTCCGGCAATGTACCCATATCATTAATCCAAGCTGCAGCCTTTTTATCACTTTCACAATCGCTAGGTGTTGATGGTTCGGCAATGATTTTCTCAACTGGAAGCTCGGATCGCTCTGTCGTTTGATTAATTTTACTGATTCCACTTTCATGTTGGGCAACCAATGTGTCTTTTTCTTCCTTTAATTGTTCACAAAGCGACATTAAATCTTGTGCTTGGTCTACATCTCCACGTATACCTGCTTCCTCAGCTTCAGATAAAAGTTTCTTAATTCTAGCATTTAAATTATTTAATTGCTCCGCGTATTTCGAGACATGAATTTGTGTAACGCACTGATCCCGGTTCATTAACTGTAAGCGCTGTTTTCCTTTTTGTATCTTACGTTCTACGTCGTTTAACATCGTATTGCAAAAGCGCAAAAATTCGTCTTCATACTGACGTTTTCGAGGACTAGAACGTGCTTGGCTGTATAGTTGTTTTGCCTCGTCGTCATGAATGCGAGTACAAGGACCGAGATCAGCTCGAGTGTTAATAAAGAGATCATGAGGGCAGAATTTCACTATGTAATATTGACAAAACTACAAAAAAAATTGTTAGTTATTTTATTTGAGAAAATTAAATCGTTTAAATGAAAACATTCACAATTTTTCAATCCTCTAAAATTATTGATTTATCGCAACACCTTTTGCAAGGGACCTGACTTTATAAAATTATTTGAGACTACTACTAGCCCAATATTAACTTACATCTGGGTCATCCCAATTCACTTTTCGGACTGCTTCCGATGGATGCAGGTTGCGGTTACGCCCCATCAGCTCATCCAGCATTTGTCTGGCTGCATCGACCATTTTTAATACCTAAATTATTTAATTCTTAATTTAAAATGTAAATAACCATCGCAAATTTAAGTTACTTACTTTTCCTTACCTTCTAATAGTTCTTCCCAAATAAATCTATAATTTTTTTACAATTTTTATATCGCGTACTTCTTTTTCCAAATTTGTCTACTACGAGAAAAGCGCAATGGCTACAGCATTGTATAGCAGAGGAGTGTGTAATGTTGCCAGATTATTAGTATATATACAATTCAGAATTGCTATTTACACAATGCTTTCTTGTCGTGAGAATATACCTGCTGTTTGGAATATATATCCTCATACAAATTCATTCCTATGATTTGACACATTAATATATGTTAAATTTCTTCATTTGAAAAAAAAAACATTTTCTTAAATACATACATTTTCTTCAATAATAAAATAATTGGGATATTTAACTTACATACATCATACATTATATTATTATATTATAATATCATATTATTTTTATTATATTTATATATTATATCATTATATTAACATCATACACAAATTCAAGAAAATTAATTAATTATATTTTACAGACATTTGTGAATTTTTGTCCGTTGTTTCTACAAATGTCAAACTGAAAACAATTTTGTGCATTGAGTTTTGTTAAATACATTTATCTGGTAATACTAAATGTAAGTCAAAGAGGGGAAAGCAGCTGACTTTTTGTTCAATATCGAACACATTTGTTCTGCTTAAAGGCTGTTGTGCTGTATCTTTTTACTCGTTCTAACTAAGGGAAGAAACGCATTCTTTTTTAAGTGACAAGATGAAAATAAGGGGAAACGTAAGAATCAATCACATTTTAGTTTCTTGGCGTAAAAGTAGGGGAATGTTTATATCAGCTGATAGAAACAGTGAACAATTGCACTGCACTACATGTGTTGTTTTTAGGTAATTTACGTTGTGTGTACTTTGTAGTAAATAAACAATTCTTTACTTTATGATATGATTTATGATTTCTCGGGATCAATCGCTAAGTCTCCAAATTTCGTATTCTGCTAAATTGGCAATCGCTAAGTATCGTTAAAAACGACTTTAATTTCTCTTAATTTGATTGTTTTTTGGCGGTTCGATTTTAACTGTCGCTAAAAGTGAAAATATTATATTTTAAACAAATTGAGCAATTATTTTGTACGTATATAGTATAATATGAAACATGAAACAGTGAACAAAATAAATAATTATATACATATTTACACATATATTATTTAATTTATTTAATTTATTATTTAATTTTCAGATATTTATGATGGAATTCGAGGACTTAAAGACAAAACACATTAGCAAGGAGCAGAAACAAGCGCTGGTCCAGCATATGGAAGAGAATATAGATTTCGCTCATGACAGATTTGTGTCAGATAATGGTGAGCGAAATCTTCACGAACAATGGGGCTCTCTAGCTATTATTTTAAATGCCGTTGGTGGAGCAGTTAAAGATGCCAATGGTTGAAAGAAGGCATGGGTCAACATGAAGTAAGTAGTTAAAAATGAAAATAAGATATATTAACAGTTAATACTATATATATATAAAAGAATTATACACACAAACATGTAAAATAACATCGTCGCCTTTAATTTTAAAATTGTAGTGTGTATATTTCTTTTAGAGAAACTATATTGAAAAATAGTAAATAAAAAAACTCCATTGTTTAATTTTATCCAAAAGCAAGAGAAAAGTCCAGGAGTATAAACATGCAATGGGGCTGACCGGAAATGCGTCCGTGGACATAAGGGATTTAACCGATCTGGATGAACGGATTATTGCCGTAATGCATCCAGTAGCGGTGCAAGGCATGGTAGATGTCTGCGAGCCAGCAATGCACATTGAAAGTGATATTACATGTTTTGATGACATAGAGGTATGTATTGGAGGCGAATGACTTATTATCGCTTTTATTTTTTATAAAGTTTTTAATTATTAATCTAATAAATGTTTAATTTTAGTACCTTGAGGATGGAAAGGAATTGCCAAGCGTTTCAGGTCGATCTGCTTGTGTCAACGACGTGGTTTGTGTGCCTTTAAGAGCTAATCGTCCAGCTAAGCGACGAAATCGAAATCCCTCGTTAGAACAGACCAATCAAAAGTTCGTCGAGTTGCAGGAGAAAAGGTTGAAGCTTGAGGAGCGTCGACTTGAGCTGGAGGAACGAAAACTCAAACAAGGAAAAGAGATTGCGGACGAACGCGTGCAGGCGACTAAAGAGCATACAGATGCTATAAAACTATTAGCGGATGCGCTTAATAATTTTAATAAATAGATTAAGGCTAATATAAGTTTTTTTATGGTGGATAGCCCTACTGGGGGTGATGTGGAAATTTACAGTAATAAAATTGTTTATTTTTAAGGTTTTAAGGCAACAACGAATATGAAATAAAATTAATATTTTATCAAAGAATAAAAAAATATTATTTTATTTGCCCTAATACCAAGTAAGACAAAACTTAATTTGATAAATATGTGGTATAAATCCACATAACATCTGTATCTAAATTAAAAAACAATGATTTAATGTTTGGAGCAAAACGAATTTGGTTTGATGTTAATTAATTTCACACAAATTAATGATTCTTAAACATAAAATTTGCAAATAACGTATCGGTCAAAAAGTGCTAGAATTGACGACATTTAGATATTGTCTTTATGAAAAAACCATTTGTTTTTGAAAAGTACTTACCTCAAAACTACATTTATATTTTATTTATTTAATAATTACCAATAAAGTCCAATGGATTCAAAGCAATTTCATAAATTAATTTCTCTAAACTCTACTTCACTAAAAGCAACCACGGAACGTTGGTTTGGAACGTGATCGTATAGGGACTGGACTAATGACGCATCATGCTCTCGTTGCCTAAATGTGACGGTTACTTATGAAGATTAAATAATTTTCAAGCATTGGAAAAGAAAATAGGATTTTGTTATTTTTAAACTACTAAATTATTAAAAGAAAATTTGTTTAGCAGTAAAATTTCAAAATACTTGCTCAAAATGCATACATAATAAATTCCGAATTGAATATGAATTTCTAGAATGTTTAATGCATTTATTTTAAAATAATTTTATACAACAGAAAATTTAACATGCATAATAACATTATAACTATTAAATTCTAACGATTATTTAAAATGTATATAACAAATAAATTTAAAGGGACACATGTCAATATTTTAGCACTTTGTTGCTTTTTACTCTATATATATTTAAAAGTATATATGTATTTTAATATAAATTTATATTTTTACATTGCGTAGCATAGTGGACAAGCTAAGTATATATGTATATGTATATAAATTTTGTATATATTATAAGCTTAATAAAAAAAATTAAAATTACTTTGTATAAAACGTAGTTCTTAATCTAAATTTGGAAAATATAATTATATATAAATTCATTAAAAACTATCTCCTACAAATTAGTAAACGGAAACAATGTCAACTACAATTAAAATATGTAATAATGAAAAATTTCATTTTAAAATCTAAAAGTTAAGCTGAGCAAATCTTAAGAACATGGTGAGGAGAATACTTGCCAATATATTTATAATATATTAACTCATGCTTACACATTACATTTACAGTGGAAAAAATATTTTACAATAATAATAAATGAATAACTATTGCTGAAAAAAAAAATTATTAACAATAATAAATACAAAGATCAGATCACACAATCTTTTTGTATTAAATTTAATTTTGTTAATTTTGTATGTAAACAATTTGTATCTTATATTCAATTTTGTTCTTTTCTTGATGTTATACATGAATTTTGATTATTTCTATTTTACAAAATTCCTAATATATATTTTTTACAAATTCACAGTTTATGTCATAAAAATATCTTAGGCTAAGTCTTAGGACAATTTTAATATTTCGACAATTTGTGCAATTAGCACCAATGCTACCACATCCACTGGTTACACGCGTCTTTGTTGTTGTAGAGGTTATGGCAATGGTATTTGTAATAATTGCATCACCACTTAAACCAAATAGCTCATTGGCCATTATAGAATCACTTTTATCTGCAGCATTATTATAATCATTTTTATCTTCATTATCAACATTATCATTACACCATGTTTCAGGTTGACATTCATTCCTGCTTCCTGCATACAATCTATCACTTTTATTATATACTAAATTACTTTGTTGTTGTGGTTGTTGTTGTTGTTGAGGTTGTTCCTTTAAATTGGTTAAATTTACTTCATGTACTTCATTAATGTTTGTACCCACTTTCAATGGCCACAAACGTTTCATGAAAGTAAAGCGTTGTATACATTTCTTACAACGCTAGTGGCAATGTTCGGTAACGTCGACAATAACTGACTTTTTCCAACAAAAGAAGAAGTAACCAACTCCTGCTCCTAACACCACAGCGATACAAAGCCAAACGTTATATGTCATAAAAATCAGCATGAGCATGAAGGAAACTGTCGTTTGAATTATGTGCAGGAATGTCTGGATCAAATGATTAACAGATAACATTGTCGGACTAAAAATAAATAAATATTATAATTAATTATTATTTTTTCTAAAAGTGCGAGATATCTTACAAGCATGCATAACAAATGAAACATTTTTGTATAAAAGTTATTAATTTATATAAATAAACTATGTAAATGAAATTATAAATACATTTTTATGTACAAATAAATATCCAAAATCTCAAGCCATTTCACCAAATTTTAGAATAACTAATGTTTACTAATACAAATGGAATTATAATAAAATTCAATTAGTAATTCTTAAGTTAATATGATCAAAGAAGAACCTAGTAATTTAGTTCCTTATTCTCAGTTAACGTTAACTCACAAATAAATAATAATAAATGACCAAACTTTTTATATCCAATATAATCATCACACTACATTATCACTGTAATTATATATACATATGTCATCTTAATGGCTAATTTAGCTAACTTGACTAAAATAGAATATGGTCAACCAATTTCATTACAATTAATTAATGAAAACTAATTATTTATACAGTTAATGGGTTAAAAATATTAAATTTATAACAAGTATTTTTGTGCTAAATAATATAAATTTTGGGAATTCATTTATATTTTAATATAAACCAAGATACATGTTGTCAAAGGAGTTAATAAAAACGTTCATTCATATATATAACAATATCTCAAAATAGATTTATCCGGAAACATAATATTTTGAGAGTATTTTTTAGCAGTTTTTGCTAGCCTATAATATTCATTGACACTTACTGATACTTAAGTATTTCTTATTAGAGCAGTATCTTTCGATATCAGTTTCGAAAGATGTCTGGAACAAACCCATTGTAAATCTAAAACAAGTTATAAATAAGATACTATGAACGACATTATGAAGTAATAACTAAAGACGATATTAAGAACTTAATAAAAGCATTGGCTGTTAGATCTTTGTCAGAATTGTTGTGATTATTGAGTTTGGCTACTGTCAATAGTGACATTACTACTCTCCGCCAAACTGAATATAAGTATATACTGAGCTAGTCTAATTTGTACTTTCGTGATACATACCAATGACTTGAAAAGTATTTTGGCGATTCTGCTCCGCCGAAATATTATTATTTGACAGTGCTTTGCTAAGTTTAACAGTTAACATATATATATTTTATCATTTCGATTGTCGTAAAGTCGAAGTTCAGAGAGATAATTGACATCTAAAAAATATCAGAACGCAGCGCAAACATGATTTTCACGAATCTCATAATGGGTTCTGTGGAACAAAAACAATAGTGTATTTACGGAACCAAATGTTCTTTAAGAATGTTTAAGCAAAATAAACCCGTATTTTTTTCATCAATATGTGATTGTGGAATAAATCTGAGTCCACTGGAAATAAAATTCGAGCAAAACTCGCATATTATATGTGATAGAGGAATATTTTTTTTTCTTTGTGTGGTATGCCAATGAGTTACAAATAATTCTATTAATAAAAGAAATAGAAGGATTTAAACCTTATAATCGTAGTGTGAAAAATTTTCTTCTTCTTTCTTGGCATAACAGTCTTAGGTGGATCAGTGTTTCCTCAACCAATTCTATTATTAAAAATTTAAAGAAGTAAACTTCTTTAATGAGCCTAATTTTTAATGAATTTCAAAAATATTTATAAATTTGTTGAGAATACTGATGGGGTGCATTAAGCAGTTAACAGAATGGTTTTGTATATGTAATGTATATTTTATACAATGTATATTTTATATGTATATTTTGGGCCTCTATTACCACTATAAATGGTAACTCAGCTTTCAAAACTGCCTTGAATGTGAATTAAGAAAGCAAAGTTGCTCACTTAAATATCACGTAAGTTAGTATTGAGACTTAAGTTACGACTGTAAAAACGGTCTTTAGTCAACAAAACAACATTGATTTTACTGATTTTAATAATTGTATATAATAATTTTAAGTACTGCCAATTTTCTCCGATTTTTTTTTTTTAATAATTATTTTTGGTTGAACCTTTGGCTAACCATACAGCTGTTTCGGTTATTGTCAAATACCCATCATGTGGTCTTTGAAATAATTCTTGTATTTAATTATTCGTAAATAATTTTATGAGACTGTAAGTATTAGAGATTGAAATCGTAGGGGCATTATTTATTGCATGATTTTATAATATTCATTCTTGTGTACGGAACATAGTCTCGGAAAGTAATACAGAGAAATTTAATATTTCCATTTAAGACTTAAGTACTTAATATTCGGGCAATTTTAAAAGGCCATGTCATTTTTTTATATATATTATTAGAGTGAAGAATTTACATTTTTTCTATTGATCAACATGAATGTAATTAATGAATATAACTGAAGGAGGGGAATAAATAATTATAGTTCATTACTTCGTTATTTTGTACTAAACATAAACCAAAAATATTTTATTGAAAGATATTTTACTACATTTATACAAAAGATACTTTTTAAAAAATTATATACAAAATAAAAATTAAAGTAACAAGAATTTGTAAAATAGAAAATTTTTAACCAAGTAATACTACGGTAAAGGAAAACGATAGAAGCTAAAATTTCCGAATTATCCAATTAAAAATATTGAAAAAAAAAAAATAA